TGCTAGTAGGTTGGAGGCCATGGCTATCAGGTTGGAGGCCATCGCTACTAGATTGGAGGCCATCGCTACGAGGTTGGAGGCCATCGCTAGTAGGTTGGAGGCCATCGCCATTAGGTTGGAGGCCATCGCTAGTAGGTTGGAGGCCTTCGCTTGTATTTACACCGCAGGTCTGTCTTGTGTGATGGACCACGTCATGTGGCACGGCTGGAACGTCTCTATGCCAGCGCCTTTATGTGTTTTCGCTGCACAAGCTGCTCTGCCGCTCTTTACTCAGGCTGGAGTAGTGTCGGCTGGGAACCGAGCAGCGTGGTCCGTATTCCAACCAAACTTTGGACGAAATGCTAAGTCTCAATCATCTACTGAGGATTTTGCTAAAAGCAAGCAAGTCACCACATTCAATGTACAGGCTGGATACCATTTGTGGATTGGGTTGTGGCAAACAAAGATTGTCAGATGACAGTTCAGACCAGTTCATGATATATGCAGTTTTTAAAGTTTTTTGTACATGGTTCGGTAAACCACCTATAGTCTCAAACACCAGATGTTTGCAGTCAGATCAGTCAGCATTCCTCCACGACCTTGACCCATAATTTCAATGATTTCAATGTGCAGGATTCAATACCCAGCTCGCTGGCAGAAGTGCAGTAGCCGTGGCAATAGCACAGGCAGGACAAAGAGTTCAGCAGCCGGAAGGCAGATAGAAGGATTTGCGCATGATTTGCTGTGCAGTAAGACTTTAGGTCAACCTTGGTGAGTTTGAGACCACAGCTGTCCCGAAGTTCCTTGGTGCAGACCTGAAGTTTGTTGAACATGTCGAGCTTGCAATGCCTCACTCAACAAGCAGCGTCACCTGCGGAGATGCTAAAAGAAGCTGCTGCAGAGAGGATGGATCTAGTCAGCATTTGCCTTGTTCAAGTTTGTGATTACAGTCAGTGACAAATTGGGGGTGCTGACTGCACGTTGCTTTTTCTCAAGGCATGTTGTTCTACCAACATGCAATTTGTGTATATATAATTAGCAGGATACTGCTGACTTGTGGCCTTCGGAAAGAGAGCATGGGTGCATGAAATCAAAACTGGGGATGTCCGATCCGAAGTCGGATTGGCCGAGAGATAGAAAGAATGGAAAGATGGTGGAACCACGGGACTTAGAGGAGCAAATCATGATTTCGAACCAGTTGCAGTCAGCGAAGGTGAACACCTTGATGAAATCAATTAGCCACTTGCAGAAGGAAAACCTCTCCCTGCAAAGGGGTAGCCGTGAAGCAAGCAGGACTAGCCAGTACAAAAAGATCCAGGATGAGCTTGGACAGCAAGACGTACTGATTGATGTTCTACAAGGTTGTATTGGTACTGCGAAGGCCCAGGAACTCATGATGAATGCTATAGAGTCTCTTGAATGTGACGATACGCGCTGCGCATCATGCAACTGTGACGAAGAACTGGTGAAGTGTGACGATGGATCTTGGCTTTGCAAGCACTGCTATGGTCAACGTATGTGGAAAGAGCCGCCTGACACGATCGAAAAGAGGAGCAAAACTTCCAAGATGACAAAGTATCCAGAGTCCAAAGAAAAGCTTCAAAAGGAGTGCCAGGCTGTGGAAAAGGAATTGATTTGCACCAGACGCTTGCTAAAGGCCAAAAATTCTCCCGTGAGCGTAGCATTGCCCAAATCAGCTTTATTCAACACATCCGCAGCTCTGGCAAACATACTGGCTGGTTATGTGCAGCGCGCAGACCAGCTTGAAAAAGAAAATGTATCCCTGCGAAATCATCGAGAACAGTTGGAGAATACTCTGGAAGAACAGGAGTACGAACACAGACAGCGAATTCAGCAACCCCAGGAATTTGAATGGGAAAACCAAGCCTCCGTGGCTTCTATTCAGGACTTGCAGACCAGACTTCGGCTACGAACCAGCGAGATTGACCGAGCCATGCAAGGTGTTGCTGAAACACGCCAGAAACTGCTGGATCAAAACAGCAAGCAGGAAGCACTAAGGACGAAAATTGATGCTGCAAAAAATGATATCAACATGCTGCAGGAAGAGATGGGCCAATGGTCTTCTGTGGAAAGAACTGAACATGCCAAGCAGCTTGACAAGTTGCAGCGCTCAAAAGAGTTGCGGAGACAGCACTTGCTACAAGGACGAGAGCAGCTGAAGGAAGCAAAAACCAAGCTGCGCAAGTCCCTCCAAAGCATCAGTGACCAGCGAAGTCCTTTGGAGGTTCAGACCAAGATCAAAGCGCAGGCAAGGAGGCTAAGTTTGTCACTGCGCAAAGCCTTGCAAACCGGCAGGAAAGCTGACTGGTCTGAATTTTGGTCACAGCTGGACACTGAACAAAGTGTTGGTTTGGAAGCTCCTGTCCAAGAGCTTTTAGACAAGTTTGGTATCCAGAATAGTGAGCAGAATGTGCCGAAGTTGCAAGAACTGAAAGAGGCCTTGTACCACATGGAGGTTGCAGGAGGAGACAGCAGGATATTTGGTCAATGGGCTGCCTCGAAGAAGAAGCTCCAAGATGAATTCCGAGCCGAGGCTTGAGGTTGTTTGCCACGTGAAGCTGTTGATGTGCAATCCTGTTCACATTCAAGAATACAACGGAAGAAATGGATTCAAAGAAAGCAAGAAGGCAACATCAAGAGACAAACACAGCAAGAACAGGCTTCATCGAAGCTGGCGGAGTTGCAAAAGCTCGAGACGCTCCTTTCTCAGCAAGAAGCCCAGGCCAGATAATTCTGCACCGTGCACTCGCAGTTTCATTGAGAAGCGTGTTTTAAGCAATTACAAGTGGTGGCTAGTATGTTGCGATAGGTGGGCAAGTTGCAGCAGGCTTGGGGGTTCTTCCGTTTTTCTATTATATAATGTCCGCCGAGCTGGAGCATTGGTCTGTTGATCTTGCTTTTAGATTTTCGAGTGATTCTGCGGTGGGTGTCAGATGCAGGAGCGCATTGTTGCCCGACATGATGTAGCGTGGAGCAAGACGCTTCAAGTGAGCTGTTCGGACTATTTAGATTGGAGGCCATCACTACTAGGTTGGAGGACATTGCTATTAGGTTTAGATGAGGTGCTTTCCATTCTTTTCATTTTAACAAAGTCGGGGTGCCAATCTGGCACTCTCCTCGGGAGACGTTCTACTATATATATATATTTATGTTGCTTTTTAACCTGTTCTGTGACTTTGTGATCTTGTTCCGTGTGCCTTGGCAGCAGAAAAACAAGTGGGTTGCTCAATGAAGTCGTTCACACTTGCAAGATCTCAGGCTGCTGCGGAGCACTGCCAAGAAATGATGGCAGAGCCACAAGGTCTCTCTGTTTCAGCCGCTTTCTTTCAAGGAAGTGGTACCTTGTTTGAAAAAACTTCTTTGTTGCTTTCCAGGTTTGGCACCAGGAGCAGATCGGCTCCCTGTTCCAGCAAGGCACATGGCACACAATCGATCGCTGTCCGGTTTGCCTCAGCCATATTTTCCAGTTGTGCAACTGCAGTGTGTCAGATTCTTTCGGACAATTTTACCGGTCTCAAGGATACCCTGACTGCTTTGGGTTGTTTGCCTGGATCAGCTTTTTATTTCCGTTACTCCGCGTGGGGTCCTCTTGTTTATTTGTTGTCGCAGACGGCTTGTCCTTTCTGATTTGCATCTGAGGCTTTTTACCTTTTGCGTTGAACGTAAGGAGAGCACACAAAAATCCAATCATGAATGATGCTGGTCTCATCATATCTTCCAAAAAACTCGCCACAGAGCAGTCTGTGTGCTGAAAGCATCGTTCTGAGTTGCCTAGTTTCTGAAGAAACATGCAGACGCAGGCTGCTGGTCACAGCACCTGGTAGTTCTGCTGAAGAGGCTTGAACCATTTAGTCGCTTGGGGTAGTCATGAGGTACGGTATGAATGCAGAGTCAGGCACTGCTTTTTGAGGCACGGCAAGCAATTGCAGCAGCCAAGCAACAACATGCTTCCTGCTTAGTACCGACTCTTTTGAACCTGGAAGCTCATCATGCATCTCAGCTTTCGTGGAACAGACTTGGGGCGAGTATGTCAGATATTTTGCGTTATTTTGCAATGTTTAGGCCTGGGAGAAGCGCTTTCTCCCAATTGAAGAAAAGGACCTTCCAGCCATTCATTTGTCGTCGCTGGAACCTGATGGAGGCGCCACGGACAGTAGCAGAGGCAGATGCGGAGTTGGAAACACTGCCAGCGGAAAAACAGATTATTCTATTTGTTTGCTCGCTTTTCAATCTTTTCAAGACTTTTTGAGGTTTTTGGATTTTTTGGATTTTTGGATCCGTAAAGCTAAAGCCATGACGAGAAGGCCTCATTTCTAAGTTTAACGAAGCATAGGCACGGTCACCAACCAAACCTAGCATGCTGCTCTGAAATCTCCAAGATGAGATAAATTAGGATTATGGTCGTTGCATGTGGGCTGACCTTCCAGCCACCAGCACTTGGGGTTTTACATGGTACAACCATCTCTGGAATAGCTTTAGCATAGAGTGTTCGTTCTTTAAGAGGTTCGTTTTACGATAGAGGTTTGATATGTGCGGAGGGGCTTCCAGTTTCTAGGCCTTGCGGATTGGACAGAGAGCCTGAAGCTCCAGGCGTCGGCAGAGTTTTGCTGAAGAGTCTGCCAAGGTGTAAGGAGTAAAAGAGGTGAGCTCGAGTGAGCTCGACAGATCTGACAGGCTGAGCTTGGTCTCCAAGACGAACTCTCCACAGCCCGAGCCTTGAAACCGAACGGAACATCTTGAAACTCTGAGAGTACTGAGAACCCCGTTGTGATCGCAACCTTTCGCGCGGAACCCTGGAGCAAGGCCCAATAGCAACTTTTTGCATTCTGGAGCTGTCCCCTCATCCAGCCACCGTGCTTTGCTTGTTTAGCCATCCAGCGCGACTTGTTTCAGTCTGTTCAAGACCTACCTCAAATTGCCCGCGCCCGGGCGATTGGCGTTGTGGAGGCAGGACGTTCTGCTCGCAAAACCGCTCTGAATCTGGTTGTTGTGGCGGACAGGGATTCCAAGAAGGTATCTGCTGCCAAGAGATTCGAGCTTGTCGCTCCAAACTTTCCCATCAGCAGAATTGATTGCGTCAGCTCAACACCATCACTTACAAATCTCATTTTGGGTGTGGCCACGTTTTCTTCCATGGTCAGTAGCCTTACTTCTGACTTGTACTTTGCAAAATGTGGTCAATGCCAACAACTGCCGCTTTGCATTCTGGGATGCACCTGGACGGTTCCGGTGGGGCGCAAGCCCAACCCCCTGGACCGCAACGAAGGAAACACGCTGTCCCCAAGAGTAGCCAGGGATGTCCGCTCACTACCGGATGGAGCAGACGGGATGCTCTGACCTGACTAGCTTGGTGGCTGCTAAGACGAAGCGGCCTGAGAGACGGAAGAGGCGACGCGATCTCCTGGATGTGGAGCCGACGTTCTTGCTTAGGACTTCAATGCACCTTGCGCCACTATCGGATTTTTGACCTATCCGACCTTCCATGTCCAAAACCCTGCCGATCTGTGAAAACAACCTTTAACAATCTAAGGCTCAAAGCGTGGAGAACGATCACGCGCACACCAAATTGATAAGAAATGAACAGCGTCGCTCACTTGATTCAATGGAGATGCAGCAAAGCGTTTTTCCGGAACAACAGCACGTGTCCTGCTGGAAAAAGGCCTATACGCAACTATAACACTTCACCTCTACTTCACTAATCATTTTTGCGAGGCGCCTCATGAAGTTCTGGAAATGGAAGACTATGTTGACAAGTTGGATGCCGTCCACACCGAGTTGCAGGAGGATCGGCGTTGTGATTTTTTTCAACATTTGGTCGACCTGCGTTTCTTTGCCTTTGGAGCAACCATTCTTTGTGTGAGACTGTTGCTGATCTGAAGCTGCGCCTTCAAGCTGTTGCGAGCTTGGAAACTTGTCATAGTTAACGCTGCGAAGTGCTTTGTGGAGCCCAGGCCAGAGTTTTGCTCCGGCATCACGACCCCAAAGTAGCATGGCTTCAAATAGGGCGAGATACAAATACGTGTAGTGTTGCGAAATGTAAAATGCACGAAAACCACACAAACGGTCAGGGATGCACAAAAAACCTGAATCATTTGCAGGCAGGGTCCCGATTCTGTGAGCACTGCGTGGTTCTCAGAAAGTGTGCTGTAGCCTATTGCAAGTAGATCTGTTGCAATTCAGGTCCACATTGTTTTCTGTCCAACTAACGGGCCGCTGTAAATACGCATTAGCATGTCTCGCTGCGCTTGTTTCATTTGGCCAAAGTGTCAAAACAGAAACTCGGATCTTTCGTTGATTGCCTGGCCATCATGAGCGCCCGACTTTTGTTTTTGCACCTTCTAAGCACCTTCTAAGCTAGCAAGCAGAACAGACAAGCAGAACGTGATACTGTATACCAAGCACGTGATATACCATTGGCAAATCTCATTGAATTGTCGGCTCAAGTGAAGAACAACGATTTGGCTTGGAAAGGAATTCGATAGAGGACAGGGTGTTTAGTCTGTCTCAATGTCGTTGCTGGGAACAGCCTGCTGAACAGCTGCTTTCAAGGACTGAGAGTCTTTGCCAGGACCATGGGGAACACTCCCGGGGGCATGCCTGGTCAAGGTGGAAGACCCTAGAACTTCACGGCAAGAGTGATTGAAGAGAGCAGCATTTCTTCTTTTATATGATATGTTCAATGAACAATTCCGTCCTCATGATGCTCATGCACTTTGTTGGCAAGGCCAGGGCCAAGGCAAAGAGAAGAAAGATGGAGATGACAAGAAGAAGAAACACGAGGTGTCCTTAGGTGTATTTGTTGTGTGATGTTGTGTGTCCTTGCATGTTCGCACTCTCTCTCTCTCTCTCTCTAGGCGCTTGCTCCTCCATCTCACTTTGGTAGAAAGAAGAGAAAGATGAAGGGTGCACAGGCCTGAAGGTGTGCAGAAGACTTGTGCGTAAGCACTGTCTCGGCTGAAACAGGTTGCTAGCAAGCTGCCGTTGGTGGTGCCTACATCAAAGTGCGCTTTGCAACATGTTTGTCAACACGCTTGACAGCACGAGCGAAGCGGAGCACTGTCTGCTTTGCTTGACGGCCGAGTCACACCGTAAGACATTCTGTCTGTCAACCGGTTCATTGAAATCACTGGCTCAAACCATGGCGTGCCTGAGCAGGTGTCGACTTCGTCTGCTCAAGCATGATCGAGTCAAGGCCAAATGCTCACCTGTACGTATATACAATTATATACATCTATACAATGATATGACAATGATATGTACATCTATCAATCTATCTCTGTCTGTCTGTCTGTCTGTCTATCTATCTGTCTATTTGTCTATTTGTGTCTATTTGTCTGTATCTGTCTCTATCTGTTATCTGTCGCCATCTGTTATTTGTCTCTATCTGTTATCTGTCTCTATCTGTATTTGTCTCTATCTATCTCTCTATCTCTCTATCTCTCTCTATCTCTATCTATATCCATTCATCCATCGATCGATCCATCGATCGATCTATCCATCGATCGATCGATCGATCGACCGACCGATCGATCGATCTACCTATCTACCTATATCTATCTATAGTATTTTTCCTGACCCCTTTCCTTCTCATGAGGACTACCTCATGATGGAGGAGGAGTTTATCCAGGAGCCTAAGCCTCTGCAGTCTGCTGAGTCTACTGCGAATTGATAGTGAAGGGAGGGGAGGAAACAATGTACATGTGACATATCGCAGGAGCAGCAGCGGTTGAAGCCAAAAGAGGACAAAGAGTCAGATGAAAAGCTGGACCCTTACAAAAGTGCGTGAGTGCTTGAGCTGGACTCTTATTTTTGCACGTTCCTTTATCACGAGTTGCTCCGTGTAGAACAGGGCCTAGAGGATCTACGGCAATTGAGGTCAAAGCTGGACGACATTCGTGGCACTCCGATGGATGTTGGCTCCCTTGAAGAATTCATTGACGAGCTTGGCGCCCAAACTGCGATGTGTTTCTTTTGGTTAGCTACACCGAAGCTGAAGGAATCACTGCATAGTGTCCACCGCGATGGGACCAGAGTGCGGCAGCAGACGTTTGCTTGTATAGTGATTTCCTTGTTTCTATTTTTCAACTGACCTTGGTTTTCAGGTACTACGTGAACATTCTGTCTTTCGTTGACAAGGATGCAGTCACTTTTGAGATATCTTGCAAAGCCATGCATTACTTGCTGTTTGAAATTAGAAGGACCAGCTGGAACCTGGTTCCTCGATCCTGATGCACCACAAGAATCTGAGCAACTTGGCTTGGGGCAAGGACAATGAGAATCCAAAAACCGGGAGCAGTTGTACTAGAAGCCGCTTGCATGCCCAAGGTGTTATTGGATTGCTGGTGGACGAAGTGAATCCGCTTGTGAGTGTGATGAAGGTCGACAAGGCTAGACTAGAGCACGGCAAGAACACATCACTTACTTGACACGGTCCAGGCTTAGCAAGTTTGTTGTCTTTTGTTGAGACGGTCAGCATGTTGGCATTGTGACAGGCACCGACGGAGTCATATGCTGACATTGGAGGACTTGAAGATCAAATCATGGAGATTAAGGAGGTTTGGTCTATGTGCTGTCTTACTTTGATTGTCGTGCTTTGTGAATGCCGTGCATTCACTTGTGTTACTCAATCTTTTGGTCTGTATTGTCTCAGGCAGTTGAACTGCCTTTGACACACCCGGAGCTGTATGAGGCAAGTGTACAAATGTCTGAAGACGTTTCAAAAGGCCATTTTGTCCGACGAAGTTCGGTATATAGGAGGTCTCTGTTTGCCAGGACGTTGGCATCAAGCCGCCAAAGGGAGTCCCCAAGCAGCACTACTCTAATGATTGAAGTTTCTTCTGCGCTTGCAACGGAAGCTTAGGTTTCTCATTGATTTAGAGTTGAATTAAACAATTATGAATTATACTTCTGTCTGACCTCACCTTGAACACATATCCAAAGCGGCTCTTAGGTAATCCTCTATGGAGTACCGGGCACTGGAAAAACACTGCTTGCGAAGGCAACATGTTTTACATCAATTTGGCTTCATTCAATTGGACACATCTTGGGCATTCTTGGGCGCTATAGTTGCCATATTCTTTAGAGGCCGTTGCAAGTGAGACATCGGCAACATTTCTGCGAGTGGCCCGCAACCCTAGTCATAGAATGTCGTAGACTGGTACAGGCATTCTTTCCCCAAAGCAACCTGGGAGCACCGGTCAACTGAGGTGGGAAGTGAATTGATTCAGAAATACTTGGGAGAAGGACCTAAGCTGGTGCAGCCCTTGCTCGCTGTGCGTGGCAGCTTTTGATATGCGATAAGCATATTGTAGATGACATGTCTTTCATGTGTGACAGCCAGCTGACAGGTTCGAGAAATGTTTCGTGTTGCACAAGAGCACGCCCCCTCCATCATCTTCATCGACGAGATCGATGCAGTTGCCACCAAGAGGTTCCCCATTTGTTTGCCAGCCTACTCAGACAAAAATGAAGCGCTTGCGGAGCGAAGGTATGATACAACGAGCGGTGGCGAGAAAGAGATTCAGCGCACCATGCAACCTGCTTGGGTGATTAAAAAAGCAGTGATTGTTGTGTTTGTTCAATTTGTGGTCCTTTTGCCTGCAGCACTTTGAGCGGGACTGGGCATGTTTGCTGAGAAAGTCCGAAGTTGCATACAGTATTAGAAAGTAGCTGAGGTTGGAGTTGCTGAACCAGTTGGATGGCTTTGATGATCGAGGAGATGTGAAGGTCGGGATTGCTTGAGCAATCAGGAGCCAGCAAGTACTTGATAATTAACGCTCCAAGTTGCTTATTCCCATGCCTAGGTGATTATGGCAACAAATCGCATAGAATCTCTTGATCCTGCCATGATTCGTCCAGGCAGGGTGTGTCACCTGCATTCCCTGACACAAATGATATTTAAAACATTGCAGTTTCAACCAGTTGTTTTCTTATGAATGATGTCTGTAGGAACCTACGCGTTCATGGCAGCTTATAATTGATTCCTGGTGTTGGCAAGGACGCATTGACCGCAAGATTGAGTTTCCGCTTCCGGACGAGAAGACCAAGCGGCGAATCTTCCAGATCCACACGTGTGAAACCAAGGGTGCCAACTCAAACAATATTTAACACATGTGCACCCATTGAGTTCCTTCCATGATTCTCTTAGGTTTTGCCTAGGTTTTACTTGCTTTCACATGTCCTACTGCAGGGGCAAGATGACTTTGGCTGATGATGTGAACCTCGAGGAGTTTGTCGTGGCCAAGGCAACTTCTGCGATACAGACAGCTTTTGCATGTTTTTGCGGAATCTTATCAGCTTACATTTGTAGGCAGACATCGGGTAACTAGATCTGTGGGGAACCGACTGACAATTTCTTTTTGAGCAAGCCTGCTTTGTATTCTTAGAAGAAGCATGTACAAGCTGTAAGCTGCTTCGCAAACTGTTCAGGACGATCTCAGTGGCGCTGACATCAAGGAGTGAATGTTTGTCCTTTTCAAACTGATTGTGGAGCGTGCGGATATACACTCGGAAGGCCATTTGCACAGAAGCTGGGATGCTTGCGCTCCGTGAGCGGCGGATGAAAGTGACTCAGGCTGGACAGTGGACAATGGCACACTGCAGAAAGTTTCTTTTCTGTTCAACTTTGTTCCTGCGCTTCAGGCAGACATGAGAAAAGCCAAAGAAAAGGCACTCTACAAGAAGAAAGGTTCCTACCCTGAGGGAATGTATTTGTAGCGTGTTTGGCCCTGAGGGCGGAGTACAGTCTGTAGTTCTGAGCAGCATCGCTCTTTGGAACACTGCTTTCACACGCTTAGTTGTCCAAAGCCATGGCAAGCTCTCATGGCATCAAAAGTGCTTGCGCCGCTCTTGGCCCCAAGAAGAACATTGAAATTGCGTGTAGTAACAGTATAACTTTAACTAAACAAACTTACCTCCAATCCCAATGCATTCTCTCCAAAATGATGTCAGACAAGCCCACTCTTGCCCACCTTTCGATCTCAACATTGCCAGGCATACCACGCATGCTCATGTGCATACGAAGCGCACTCCAAGGGGTTGCTACACTCCGGCTATTGACACTTTGACATTCATATAGCTTGCTCAAGACGGTGGGTCCGCCTGTGCAGGGTGCCTTCCTTTCAGTCGGTTACTTGGATTTCACCATGGTGCCGTGGACTTGCTTTGCACATCACATGAACCTGACCTTCCCGACAGGAAGCAGCGAAGGTGCTGACATGGATGTGAACAGGTGAGTGAATTTCACTTGGACAAGGAGAAGTCACTCATATGCGAGACTGTTCAGGATCTTTTGCGCTGAGCAGATCACTGTGCCTCCTGCGCTACCCCAAATACTGAAGGAGAGCTAGCAGCCAGCATTGCTGGTGTCTCACACTGTATTCAAACTGTTAATGCAGGCTGGACTTCTGGCACACTTTACACATCCTTGGTACAGGAGGTTAAAGGTTTCAGGAGGTAGTATATAGCTTGTCAGGACTTCACCAAAGCTGTAATCCGAGAAGATCCTTCAGCAGGTGAGACCGACCCGGCTTGGGACCAAGCAAACCGAAAGCATGCCCTGTTTCCCAGCAGCTCCGATGCTTAGGCAAGTGCGAGGATGAAGCTCTATCAGTGGTCAAGAGACTATTTCAAGACCAAGCTGGGAGAGGCGCATACAAGATCATACAAGCGCAACTGCTCATCTAAAGCTTCTTGCTAAACAGTTTTGGAGCTTTCGACCGTTTCGGTGTTATAGAGCGAGCAGCGTCTCGGCGCCTCGTTCCAGCTTTGGCTTACCAACTTAGCCAATTCTCTTGTTTACATATGAGCTTCTTTTTTCGTTGACAAATAAACTTACTCTCGATACTTGGGGTCACTGCAGACCCGACCAGGCACAAAAGAGCGGCTAAGCAGCTAACTGTGTAGGCTTGGTGCTTGGAAAGTCCTGGTCATGCGGTACGCCCAAAACATTGACTGCACCGATACATTTTGCTTGAACAAGGCACATGTCAGCTTGAATGAGCTCGTCCGTGTCACGTTTCACTCTGATTGCAAGTGGAACTGCCAGCGCTGCAAAAGGTCAGGAGGGCTTCTCAGCACTGAGCATTTCGCCATGTCAGACCTGTAAGTTTCCCTAAACATCCAGGAACCAAATGAAAGAGAGCGAGTGCTATCCTGCGTCCTGTCGGTAGTAGCTACTTGCAGCTAGTAGCTACCGTTTGCTTCTACTAGCTACCTACCTCGCTACTACCTCCCTCTACGGCCTACCCACTGATTTTTCTCGTCGCTTGTTTTGTCTTTGGGCTCAGATTAGGGTTGAGCTTTCGGGCTTTCGGAGTTCCCATGACTTGACTCTATGACGCTGCGGCAAAGCTGCAGTCTTTTCCACCAAAAATTGGTGCTCAGCCTACCCGAACTGCGTGTCGCAAGTGAAGCTCAGTGATATGAATTCTGTCAGGTGCATAGAGCTCAGTGATGGCGGGAACATTGTTCAGATCTTTCCATGATCTTGTTCGCGAAATTGAACAGGACGGTGCAGATCCATGATCTGTGTGCATCACAATGTTAGAACACTGCTCCTGCTATATCTACATCTTGCATACAATCTTGTATACAATCTTGATTTTTTGCTGAAGGAGTATGAAGACGAGCTTGCAAGGCTCAGACAAGAGAATCTTTGGATGCGTCATCGTCTTGGATTTGCGCAGGACCTTGTTTTGGCTTGACAACTAGACTAGAATACAGAAAAACACGTGCAAGGTCATTTGGAGACAGAACCTTAAGATTCAGCTCTGCTGGTTGGTTCTATGCTTTTCCACAACTTGAGATTGTAACTGGTACCCCTGCGCAACTGACTGCATTCTATATTTCCAGGAGAACGAACCGTGCAAAGAACCGGAACAATCCCCAATCAATACGCAACAGACGCCAGGTTGTCCGTGTAAAGATCAGGAACGCATAGGTGTGCACCTTGATGATTTTGAATGTGGGTTCCACCAGAAACACTTCCCACTGATCCCAATGAGTCCCCAATGAGTGCACCAGGACGCTACTAGGGGCTCCTGGCATCGCTACTAGGAGCAAGGGCCTTACTACTAGGAACAAGAAGCTAGTAGAAACAATAAATACATAGAATTTAATTGGACTTAGAAGCTTTTAAGCTACTAGGAACAAGTGCATCGCTACTAGTAACAAGTGCCTTACTAGTAGTAACAAGAAGCTATTGGAATCTAGTTAGAATTAAGTGTAATTAGAATCTGATCCCAATGAGTCCCCACGTTGCGGCAAAAGAAGGCAACACTGAGATCACCCGCACGGTTGAGGAACCTTCTGGCACTAAACCACATACAATGCATCACATGCTTCCTAACGACATTTAATCTTCTGAAGGGTTTGCCCACCTGCCTCAAAGTAGGGCATGCCAGATCACCTTCTGTGTTTAATTTGTCAATGGCTTATAAAAAGTAGTGAGGGGTAGTGATGTGAATCAAGTGTAGTTGTTCGTAGTAGGAAGGGACCGTGCTCTTGTAGTGTGGTTTCAACAAGCTGCTTGTCCCTATGGGTGAGATGTGGGCAATGTACGCAGAGGAGATTTACTTGTGGATATAGTGCTCAGTTAACCTGGAAACCCTACGGTCAGTGAAGTCAGAGTGAACGTGAATCTGTAGCAGCTCTGGGCATTGTGCATTTTTTTTCTCTCAGTGTTACTGTTTTCTCCGGGTGCACTCTCGCTATTTCTATGCTCTCCTAGTTGTTGGACCAGCCGTGACGGTTCAGGCGTGCGCAAGCCCCGACAAGTAGCCGTTCCCCCACCACAAGCCCTAGGCCGCCATGCACAACAAAAGAAAGGACGTAGTGAAGAAAGAGAGGCAAAGGAGGAAGATGACATCGCCCCCCAAAACCTCGACATCGACATGAACACAGCAGCAATCATTGACAAGGGAGACAAGATCCAAGACGTCATTGAAGACATTCGAGACCTCAAGGATCAAATGAATTGCTCGAGAAACCAGGTTTCCTACCTGCTTTGCCACGAAGTAGACAAACAACGAACAGAAGCAGCTGGAACATTTATTTGCAAGAACTTTTGGCAGTACATGGAGTCAGAGGGAAGCTACGAGCTTCTATGCGAACACAGGGAGAATATGATCACCTGGATGGCAAAAGAAGCAGGCATTTCCCCGAAGGACCTGAACACGTTCCACTTGGAACACCGCCGTGGCAAAGCCCTCTCTCCTCTCACCATGGTGAACACCGGCAACTTTCACAAACAAGATGGAACCCACGAACCCGAATGCAAACACGTTCGAAAATCTAATATGTCCAAATGACACTCTTGTAGGACACTCTTGCGGGACACTCTGTAGGACACTCTTGTGAGACACTCTTGTGGGTCACTCTTGTAGGAAACTCTTGTGGGACACTCTTGTAGAACACTTGTGTGGGTCACTTGCAGGACACTCTTGTGTGACACTCTTGTGGGTCACTTGCAGGACACTCTTGTGGGACACTCTTACACGACACTCTTGTAGGACACTCTTGTAGGACACTCTTGTGGGTCACTCTTGTAGGAAACTCTTGTGGGACACTCTTGTAGGACACTCTTGTGGGACACTCTTGTGGGACACTCTTATAGGACACTCTTGTGGAACACTCTTGTGGGACCCTCTTGTAGGACACTCTTGTGGGACACTCTTGTAGGACACTCTTGTGGGACACTCTTGTGAGACACTCTTGTGGGCCACTCTTGTGGGACACTCTTGTAGGACACTCTTGTGGGACACTCTTGTAGGACACTCTTGTGGGATACTCCTGTAGGACACTCTTAAGGGACACTCTTGTGAGACACTCTAGTGGGACACTGTTGTGGGACAGTCTTGTAGGACACTCT